CTAAGGTCAAGCTGATTTGCATCACTTTTGTAATCATTTGTGAACGGATCTAAGTTGTCTAATTGTATTTGTATTTCTGAATTTTAATATACCAAAACATTTAGAATAACAGAAAGCTAGCGACACAAACATTACAACATGCATAAAATAAAGAATCAATAGACTGACTGATTAATTGATTGCTTGATTAATCACTTTAACGATCAATAAGCAGGTACATGATCAGTTTGGCACCTGTAATAAGCAATTTCAGCTCGTTGAGGTTCCTCAACAGGTGGATTGTGGTATTCGGGAAGTAAAGCCTCAGATATGTCGTCTAGAGTGTGCTGAACAATTCGTCTTGCTTCAGTTTCAGCTAAATTTTCTTCTTGCATAGCTGATGGTATGAATTTTGTTTTTTCTACAAAATCAATCGTAAATATTTGTTGATCAGAGAAAAATCATCATTTGAATCAAAGAAAAATCATCATTTGATCGAATAATTTTTTCAATTTCATGTTTTTTGAAGTAATTTTTGGCGCTTTACAAAAAAGGTATGACATTAAGTAACGGCCAAAAAAATTGCAATTGCATTTAAATAAAAAAGCAAATAACCAAAAATATTTGACCAAAATACTTGTTTAAAAAAATTTTTTAAATTTGATAAATGAATCATTTGTATGAATGCTAATTTTAAAAGTTGTATTGATAGGAAAATATTTGAATATGCAAATATTATCAAAAAAAACATCACAAACTCGGCTTATTTTTTGAATTAGTGGTATTTTTTGGTCCATTCCCCTCCATCTTCTCCAATTTATGTGGTGGCAGTCTTATCAATGGCTTAGATTCTGAAATACCATCTTCTGTTAATTAGTATTTATTTAGTGTTGGTGTTGCAGTTGTATCGAAGGACGTATTTTTTGACCAAAAAAATTTGAAATTTTTCGCTCATTATTTTTACACTCTGTTATAAAATTAACTAATTTGAATTCATAAATTTGTGAAAATAAGAATTTAATCTAAATTCGCTTTTTCAATATTATAAAGTTTTAAATATTTTATTAATGTCATTATTTAACAATTAGTTTAAATTTAAAATAATTATTTATTAATTTATATTTTTTGAAACAATAAATTTTAAAAAAACAAAAACGGAAATAAATTTTTGTTTGGTTCTTTTATTGTTTTTGTATTATACATAATTTGTATTACCTTATTTTTTAATAAAATAATCCAAGTTGATTGCTGCAAGTAAAAATGACAGTAATCGCCATGTGGAATAATTAATTCATTTTGAATTGAGAATAAGACTGCTTTCTACTTGTAATTTCGCTTAGATTTTAAAAAAATTAGATCAAAAATTTGATTTTTATAATAATTATAATAATAATTATTATTACCAATTAATTTAAAAAATTTCCCTTTCCAGAAAGTGCGAAAAACCTAAATAAATAGCACTAAAATGTAATTTTTATAAAATTTTGCATATTC